TATAAAAGCAGTGCTCTTGTCTGTCAGCCTGTCATAATTTCCCTCCTAGACCAACTGCCGACAAAATCTAAGGGCATGGTCTGCCCTATCATAACGTTAAGTTTTCGGTTGCATTTCCTCATTAATATAAGGCTAGTATCCTCCCGAACACGTATCTCTACTCCAAGCCGTTGGCACGTGTTGGATTTCTGTTTGATACATGCTGGTATTAACAGAGGGCAGGTATTAGTATCGTCGTGGCCGAGTCGTTCAAGCATTAGACTAGAAATCTATCCTGTTCTTCCCGCGTAGGTTCGAATCCTGCAGACGATGATTTGGGGGGGGGGGGAGTGGTCAAGCCGTTAACCTCGCTCTCTAAAGGTCGTAGGTCCGTTTCAAGACTGCACCGTTTAGTTCGTAAGTGAATTTTTACGGAAATCATTAGGGAACGTCAGCAGAACTACCGAGTTCGTGCTTTGTGCGACACTCTGGGCAGGTGGCTAGTTGTTCTGTGAAAAGAGACCGAGTAATAAGTGGTAAAATCCCAGTATTTATAAACTGATGTCGATCCTGTCGACTTTAACCTTAATTTTTTTATGTTTAAGATATTACTGTGTACTCTCATACGTTAGCTTAGTCACACCTGACACAGACCTAACATGATGTTCAGCTGTGCGACAAAATCAGCTGTAAAAATATAATGAGTAGGACAAGTGACAAATGATATAGAAGATCTGAGATCTCCCAAGAAATATATGATACTGACAAATATTTTATTTATAAATAAAATGAAATTATGATTGAAAAATAAAAACCCGTTATTCCCACATTTAGGCTAGATCTATATTTTATTTACCAATCAGCAGTCTGTGGGTGATGTGGTCAACATCATGCCGGCCACCTTTACTTCCAAGGAAGTTGACTTGTACCCATGTAAGAATAGGTCGGTCCGGAAGTCAAGGTATTTTTTTTTTAAAGTCCTGTCCATCAGGACCTGAACCCACGACCTTCGAACCCGCTGACAAGAGTCTAGCCGTTACACCAGGTTTTTTTCAGGATCTGAACAAAGAGGGTGACGGGTTCATAGTATTGTCCAGACTTTGAAACACTTTGGCCATATTAAATGTCAACCCCTCAGATGATCGTTCCTGAGAAAGGCCAAAGGTGAAGGACAGCATTTCATCCTCTCCGTGTGGGTTCTGGGGTCCCATTATGGAAAACAAGAAAAGACCCACTGCCTTCCTAACAAGCTCGTCGGAGGAGTCGACTAAATGGAAGCTTTTTTCGAAATCGGGGTGCATCTGCCCGAGCGGCAAAGAACAATTAACTACACACAAATTAGCCAGCCAAACGCAAAGGACCTGCAAGATGACATTGTGTAGTATGACGTTCCCTCAAAAATGTCATTGCTTACATGTTACAAGCATGAATACTTGCATCATTACATGATCAACATCCACACGTGAACATCATGTAGATCAGTCTCGCGGACACATTGACTGATATTAGCCAAGCAATAGTTTGACATGATAAGTGTCTGTACAGTTGAGGTAACCACTTTGAGCTCCTTGTAAAACAAACACAGTAAAAGACCCTTTTCCACGCTTTTTAAGCGTATTAGGCATATAGGGCTGAACCTATATTTTATAGACCAATCGACACTTGGTTGGTGATATTGTGAGTTCCTTGTATTATTGTATAAATCAAGCGTATTCAACTCTGGTGTCTGTACAGACGTTGTCTTACAATGTTTACAGAGGTTTTCTGAAACATGTATGCACTGTAGGTTTATTGTGCATACATACACATACACACACAGTCATATACCTCAGTACACGCATGCACACATATATGCACATACATATGCATATATGCACGCTCATGCGCACACATACACACCCACAGACACTGTCTAAGGCCAGCATGTTTTGCGGTAACAAAATGCCTCTGTCTTTGAATGAAGAATTAACAGTTTTCTATCATACATTTGTGCAGGTCGGGTGACAGGTGAATACCTGATTAACAAGCATGGCCGAGGCCTGTACAAGGGTAAAGGCACCTGCTGGTGTGAAGCCAGTCTCACAGCTGGACAATCATATTGTCACTGTCATGGTCCAAAAACCACCCAGAATAAATCCAGAACTGGTGTCCCATGTAAGTGATTCAACAACAGTTGCATGATTCAGTAACATTTGCATGATTCAGTAACATTTGCATTGTTGTGATACAGTTCCTTTACATTATCATCCTCATCATGTTCCTTTCCAGTTGGCGTAGTCGCTCATGCATCCCCACAGATCACCATCCCTGGCTGCGTGGAACAGCTTTCTTGATGATTTCCCTCCATGCCAACGTTTCAGCCCATCCAGCCTCTACCCCTCTTTCCACTGATCTTTCTAGTTGTCACAATGTTTTCCAATTCTTCTTAATTTGCTCACTGGCATTCCAAGATTCGCTGCCATACAGCAGAACGGGTTCTATGAAACATTTAAGCATTCTCTTTCTGTCATTAAATGAGAGCGACTTATTGCATAAGATATTTTTTCATTTTCTGAAATGCTGCCTTCTCTTGACCTATTCTGCTTTAAATCTCTGTCACAAATGTTCCATCTGATGATATGATTGTTCCCAGATGTTATAATTTATTGACTTGGTTAGGCTTTTTTTTCCTTGAATTGAGATATCATAATGTGATGTTATCTTCTTCTTTGATATAACCATTACTTCCGTTTCCCTTTTACTCAAGGAACGTCCTTTCTTAGCACTCTCCATTCTCACAAAATCCAGCAATTGTAAATCATTTGCGTTTTCAGCTATCAAAACTCTATCGTCTGTATAACGCAAATTGTTTATATTGTATCCTCCCACGTTTATTCCTGCTGTTTCTTTAATTTCCCTAAAAATTACTCAACTATAAAGAGCGTTAAGGTCTGGGAATAAGACACATCCCTGTCTTACTCCTTGATTTTTCTGTTCAAAAGTACCCAATTTGTTTCCCACTTTAATTGCTGCTACTTAGTTCCAGTAAATGTTTTTAATTATTCTGAGATCTTTCCCATCTACATTGACATCTTCCAATATTTGTATCATCTCCTCATGTTTAACTTTGTCAAATGCTTTGGTATAAGCACAAATAAAAATCATTTTGTATGTCTATTGATCTTTATATCAGTGTTCGTAATATGTATATTGCATTACCTGTCCCTTTACCTTCCATAAATCCCTACTGCTCTTCGATCATTTCCATTCCTATTTTTCTTATTATTATTATTCTCATTGTAATTCTAAGTAGTAATTTGGTGACATGATTTATTAAGTTGATTTTACGAAATTCTTCCCATTCAATTGCTCCTGGGTAACGCAATATTTACAGATGCCATCATGTCACTTGGTATGTACCCAGTGTTTTAAGTCGTTCTTCACTTTAGTTAATATTTAGACCCCAAATTTCCCCAGTACTTCTTATTCTTCTTCCGAAAATTCATATGGCCCGGCTGACTTTCCTTTCTTTATATGTCTAACTCAAACCTGAGTCTGAAGAGTCACAGCTCAGTGACTCCGTTGCACGGGCGAGGATCTTGAAATAATTTTCGGTAGATTTTTACCTCCAAATGTTGCCCAGGCAGCGCTTTTTGATTTCCAATAGCCAAGGGATTTTTTTCAACAATACACACGGGCGTCGAGTCTTACTACCCAGAGACCAAGTGAAACTATTAGAAGTCCATGTGAAAAAATTCCAGCCTCCACCGGGGTTTGAACCCGGGACTGCAGTAACAGCTATGATACTTTGCCTCTTGTTTCGTGTCATAAAAACGAGCTTTTTTTTAAAATGCATATCCCTTTTTATGTGCACATGATTTTTTTTTTTATTTTTTTTTATTTTTGAGATTGACAGACAGATTTCACCCGAACAAGGATGTCGCAAAAGGCAACTAATAAGCGGTTTGCCGAAACTGTATCTGTTGGGACAGAAGACCTAGATATATCAGCCTAGCTGCAAAACCGCACACATCAGGCTAAAGGCAAAAACCGAAGAAGAACATTTCACCCCTCCAGGCTGCTTCCTGGAGGTTTGATACCGCAGCATTCAGATTAGCTGCTTCCTTGATGTCAGTCGAACAGGACAAATCCCAAAGACTCTTTTTTGCCTCATCAGAAAATGTTTAAATTCATTGTCCTTTTGTGACCTTATATGTCACACAAGGATTGCAGTCTATGCCTCTATTTCGTTATGTCCTGTGCAATCAATTCAATATCATGGATGGAATTCAGTATCGCACCTTTAGTCTCTTTCCTCAATGTTCGTTTTAAGGTTTATTTTAGGCATCCTCACCTTCATAATCCTTTATTTCCTATTTTAGTGCCTTCTAGTGATTCTTTACTCGTTTCCCCTCTGGATGTGTCCAATATAGTCTTCTCTGTCTTAAAATTGTTGATACTTATGGTTTCCCTGACATTTCTCTGATTTCTTCACACCTTTTAAATTAATCCTATTTTATTTTCATCATTTTCTTCAGATATTCGTTTTCTAAAGCATTAACTGTCCATCCATGTCTAGTGGCTCTCCACCTTTCACTTGCATTTTTTAAAACTAAAATAACATTAAAATTGAAAATACTTAATGATTTTAAAACTATTTTAGGGTTTGATATTGAGTCACTGCAGTCCAAGCTTCGATGATATGTTTACTAAATCAGATAATTTTCAGAGCGTGTCATTGTTGTTTTTACTTAACAGAACAAAATTAAAAAATAAAGATCTTCCAGCTGTCAATGTTTGTGTTTCCAACATGGAGGGTGGGGTGGGGCCGAGGGTGAGAGAGGGGGGGGGGGGGGTATAATGAAGATACAGTTTAGCAGCATAAAATGATTGCATCCTTACAGATAAAAAAAAACAACTGAAATAATTTCAACAGTGATATTACAAACTTCTCATTGGTTGTTTAGTTAGCCCACATGGAAATGCTGAGACATATGTCAAACAACATGCTGAAACCGAGCTGTGTTCTTTAACATGCAAAG